AAAAAAAAAAAACGACTTCCCTAGAACAATTTTAAGAAAATATCGCACGTTTAGCAAGCTCCTTCTTCTTCGAAGCTGCCATTCTTCTAAGGTTTGCAGCTTGCGCAAATGTTGAAGGCCTGAAACAAGCTAACAAATACTCGAGTGCTTAATGAAGAATGATAAACACATTGCATAAACACATAAACACACATTCCTAATGTGTATAAAATTGCATTCACTGCGTCAAAGAACTAGCCTCTTTTAAAAGATTCTTAATTTCAGCTCGCAATCGAACATCCACATCACTCACAACTCATTTCTGCATAAACAACCAAGTAAAAACAGAAAAACACACAAAAAAGGGGAAATTATAAGACTTAAGATTTTCGCGGAATGCGAGAACAAATCCTTCAACGATGAACTTTCTGTTCTCCAAAACAAAAATTCAGATTCTAAACATACTTCAACCATACCCAATCACAAACATCATTCTGCAAAATCTTACACATTTTGCCAACCATTAAGGATTTTGTTCACTTAAAATTTCAAAATATCGACTTAAAAAAATCTGGTGTATATCAAACTAGTACAACACCTGTGTATTACACGGGTGCTTGCTAATTATTTTTCTTAAAATCTAAAATTAATGAGAAAAACTAGTTTGAAAATTTAAATACTTTTCATAAGAATATATATATTATTATATATTTACAATCACACTTTTTATTTGTACAACTTACTTGTGTTATATTATACTATTTTTTTAACTTACAATATATAACTACATTACATATAAATATATCAATTGAGAAATAATTTTATTTTTCTAATAAATTTTATTATTTTTTATTATTATAAAGATAAATATAATTTATTTATTTCATATATACAATATGGATGTCAAATCGAAGATCATCAAAAATGATTAATTTGATATATTATATATGTAAAATCGATAAGAAATACAAAAGTTATCAACTTTTAAAATACATTTATAATTCAATAGTTTATTGAAGGAAACAAATCAAAATTTAGGGATATATTAGTCACTTAGTGTCTCACTATGTAAAATTACAAAGAATTAAAGGGTTATATCAGTAAAAGTGATATTAAAATACCTAAGTTAGCTAAATAATATTTATGGAATACCCGAACATAGATTATTAATTATTAATATATCAATATTATTTATCCAAACCCAATTACGAAGCATGATTCTTCGCCAAATAGGATTCCGAAGCACCAGAAGCAGCCACGTAGGCTCAGCGCATTCGGGAATTATATATAGGGAGGATTGTATGCATTTCAAACTAAAAACAAAAAACCAATGTACACTTGTTTTAGATATAATCTTCCTTTGGATTTCAAAATTCAAAAACACCAATGCCCACATGTATGTTTTAGATATAAACTTATTAAAATGAAGGATTCTGTTTGACATGTATTTTATAAATCACACATTTTCAAAATTTTGACTTATTTTATTTCTATTTTCTGGTGATTAATAATTGATTTCGAATACTTTTAAACATATTTTTTGGATAATTTTTTTACACATTAGATTAAGTTATATATATGGCCCTATTACGGTACCATTTCCGTCGGGTAGTTTAATTGTTGGATCATGGGACCATAGTATTTCCCCTCGGCCTACTCTGTACTATTCCAAATTACCCTTTTTCTTCTCAGTTCGAAAACTCCTCTCTCCCTCACACAACACGACAGTCTCTTTTCGCCGGAAAATTTTCAAACCTCTCAGCCGGAGATGAAACCGGCGACAGAGAACTTCATCATAATATCGAGGTACTGTAACTCAGCCCACTGAAATCAGGGGAAAAAAGGGATAAAAAATGGACGGCCAGAAAAGCCAGGCGAAGCTCACCAGGACCAGCTCGTCGCTCCTCCGCTTCTCCCCGAGCGTCCGATCATCCATCCAGAGCCTGTCCTCTGTGAGCGATATCGAGGCGGACGACCTCGAGGAGCAGAAGCCCCACGGCAGACCGGTCCGACCCGGTCAGTCGCGGCTGGCACCGGTCCTTGCCGTGATCCTCCTCTCAACCTACACGACCTTCTCGTTCTACTTCAGGGGGGAACATACTTGCTTCTGAGAGAGAGATCGTCGATTGAGGGAAGGGGTTGAGTTCTACAGCAATGGCGATTTTTACGAAGGCGTATTTCTTGAAGGGAGGTGTAACGGCAGTGGAGTGTACAATTAGTTTGTGAATGGCAGATACGAAGGGGATTTGGTCGATGGGAGGTACGACGGCCATGGGATTGAGAGCTGGGCGAGAGGAAGCAAGTACAGAGGGCAGTACATGCAGGGCTTGAGGCATGGCTATGGCGTTTACAAGTTATATACTGGGGATTCTTATGCTGGGGAGTGGTGTAATGGGCAAGGCCACGGCGTTGGGGTGCAGACTTGTGGTGATGGGAGCTGTTTCATTGGGGAGTTCAAGCGTGGGGTGAAGCATGGTCTTGGCTGTTTGGGGTATTATTTTTTTTGAACTTGCATAGACTCATTCAATTTCATCTATGTGTAGAACTGGAGACCGATATGCTGGTGAGTATTTTGGGGATAAAATCCATGGTTTTGGTGTCTACTGTTAAACATAGAAAGCTTTACCCTTTGATAGGAAGGATATATTATTCTTTATGGCATTGATCTCACTGTGTAATCTTTCCATGTATATGCCATGATTCACGAGTGTAATTCCTCCTGTACCATCCTCAATATATAGATGTCATACTGTGACCCATAGTAGTCATGGAGAGCCATTCATCATAACATGGTAACAGAGCCATAATTTTTTCCGATCGGCAACAATGTCGACGGACTCATCCTCCTCCTCCACTACCTCCTCCACTATCTCCAGTTCATCTTCAACCACCACCTTCGCTCCTATTCCAGTTCACCATGCTGTTAGACTTAGACTCTCCAAAACAAATTATACACTATGGCGCGCTCAACTACTCCCGTTCCTACGAGGTTCCGACCTGTTGGGATATCTTGACGGCTCCATAGCCGCCCCCTCGAAATATGTTCCATCGTCCACGGCTGAAGGGGCGGAACTCATATCCAATCCAGCGTATACTCGCTGGTATAATCAAGATCAACAGATACTTAGTGGGATGCTCTCTTCCATCACCGAAGAGATGCTCCCGGATGTGGTGGATGCCGCCACTTCCAAGGAGGCCTGGGACACACTTCAGCGCATGTTCAGCTCCGCCAATCGTGCCCGGGCTGTTCAAGTCCGGCTTGAACTGGTGAACACGAAGAAAAGAGATTTGACGGCGGCTGATTACTTCCGCAAGATCAAGGGCTACGCCACTGAATTGGCTGCGGCAGGGAATCATCTCAGCGATGACGAGATCACTGCCTACCTGCTCGCTGGACTCCCGCCGGATTATGATCCATATGTGACCTCCATCACCAACCGATCTGATCGCGTCACTATTGATGATGCCTATAATTATCTTCTTGCTTTTGAAGCCCGTCAATTGCAGTATCAGGCGGAGGCAAAAATCAACGTTGGCAGCACTGCCAACTACGCCGGGCGTGGAGGTCCGTCAAGAGGACGCGGAAGGGGCACCCCCTCTACGCGGGCGCGTGGACGTGGGGGCTTCGCTCTAACAAACCAGGGGCGAGGCAGCCGAGGACCCCCGTTCTCCACTGATCGCCCCAACCGCGGGCCCCCCTGTCAAATTTGTGGCCGTAGCGGTCATACTGCTATCAGGTGCTGGTACAGAATGGATGAATCGTACCAAGACGATCCACCGTCTGCTGCGGTTGCTGCCACATCGTCGTACAAAATCGATCCAAACTGGTATGTCGACACGGGGGCTACCGATCACATTATAAATGATCTGGATCGACTAACCTTCCGTGAGCAGTATCATGGCAACGACACCGTCCAAGTCGGCAATGGAGCAGGTTTGAACATTTGGCATACTGGTTCTTGTTCTATTAATACTGCTAATCGCCCTCTTAATTTGAAAAATGTGCTTCATGTCCCTAATATATCCAAGCATCTCCTTTCTGTTCATAAATTAGCCCGTGACAATAATGTTGTCTTTGAATTTCATCCTTATCATTTTCTTATAAAGGATCGAGCCACGAAGCAAGTACTTCTGGATGGAAGATGTGAGCCCGGCCTTTATCCAATCAATCCTTCTGCAGTTGTTTCCTCCAAGCAAGCTTTCGTCGGTGTTAAGGCATCCCCAAATCAGTGGAATGCTCGATTTGGCCACCCCTCCACCCCCGTCGTGAAGTACATTTTGCGCTTGCATAATCTCCCTTGTGTTCAAGAGTCAAGTACTTCAGTTTGTAATGCGTGCCAATTAGGCAAGAGTCACCAACTTCCTTATAGTCATGCAATTCATCGGTCTACTGCACCTTTACAACTTATTTTTTCCGATGTGTGGGGTCCAGCTCCACAATCTGTTGGTGGCTATAAATATTATATCAGTTTTATCGATGATTTTAGCAATTCACTTGGATCTATTTGATGCATGACCGCACAGAGGCTCAACGCATTTTTATAGAATTTCAAACGCATGTTGAACGTATTCTTGATTCTAAAATTAAAAGTATACAATCTGACTGGGGGGGAGAGTATCAAAAACTTCACAATCAATTTTTCCGGTCCCTTCGGATAGCCCATCAAGTGTCATGCCCTCACACTCATCCTCAAAATGGCTCGGCCGAACGCAAACACCGCCACATAGTTGAAACCGGTCTCACTCTTCTAGCCCATGCATCTGTTCCACTAAAATTTTGGGACGAGGCGTTCCTCACAGCCACTTATCTTATTAACCGCATGCCCACCCGTGTCATAGATAACACATGTCCTCTAGAACGTCTATTTAAAACCCCACTCAATTATTCTATGCTTCGCATTTTTGGCTGTGCATGTTGGCCTCATTTGCGACCTTACAATAAACACAAATTGTCGTTTCGATCAAAATCGTGTGTTTTCTTAGGCTATAGTGGCCTCCATAAAGGATATAAGTGTCTTGACCTTGATTCGGGGCGCGTTTATATTTCTCGGGATGTCATATTTGACGAAACTCGCTTCCCATTCTCCGCACAATCTTCATCCAACGTTGCACCTAATTCGGGAAATAGCATTATTAATTTGGACGATAACTATGTGCATGTGTTTATTCCTAATCCAGTGCATGCAGATCAGCAAACAAGAGAAAATCCCGGGTGGTTGGAGACTCAGGGATCCACGTCTGCCGCGTCCCAACTGCCGTACATGAATTGCCCGTGGGCCCCGCAGAATCACCGCTACCTGCGCCAGTTGCACTTGTGCCACCTGATCCTCAACCAGCTTCATATATAACCCCTCATCCATATGGGACACGGCTGAGTCATAATTTGCGGCAACCGAAGGTGCGCACTGATGGCACAGTTACATATTCAGTCGTACGCTCATCTGATGATGTACGAACATCACATACAACTGCTTTGGCACATCCTCAGTGGCGGTCCGCAATGAATGATGAGTTTCAAGCACTTATGAAAAATCAGACCTGGCATTTAATTCCTTCTCGTCCTGGTCTCAATGTGATTGACTGCAAATGGATCTTCAAATTGAAGCATAAAGCTGATGGTTCCACTGATCGTTATAAGGCGCGCCTAGTTGCAAAGGGATTCAAACAGCAGTATGGAATTGATTATGATGACACGTTTAGCCCAGTGGTCAAACACACTACTATCCAACTTCTATTAACTCTTGCAGTGTCTCGTGGATGGTCTCTTCGTCAAATTGATATCCAAAATGCTTTTCTACACGGCCATTTGCAGGAAGATGTCTATATGAAACAACCACATGGTTTTGTTGACTCGGCTCATCCGACCTATATCTGCAAGCTGGACAAATCTTTATATGGTCTTAAACAAGCTCCACGGGCATGGTTTTCTCGTCTCAGCGGTAAATTACTCCAACTTGGTTTTCAAGCATCCAAGGCTGATGTCTCTCTATTCTTCTTCAACAAAGGTGGTATTCAAATATATATTATTATCTATGTGGATGATATAATTATTATGAGTTCATCGACATCAGCTACAGATCGTCTCCTTACTCAGCTACAGGCCGAGTTTGCAGTCAAAGATCTCGGCACTCTTCGGTACTTTCTTGGCATAGAAGTACATCAAACAACCACTGGGCTCATTCTCACACAAGAAAAATATATCAAGGATCTGCTACAAAGAACAAATATGACTGCTTGTAATGGTGTCTCCACCCCTATGCTTCCCACAGACAAGTTATGCTTACACAGTGGTGATGTGCTATCTTCGGAAGACAATACTCGATATCGGAGTGTTGTTGGGGCTCTCCAGTATCTGTCCTTCACTCGCCCTAATATCTCTTTTGCTGTCAATCGAGTATGTCAGTTTTTATCTAAACCGACTACAGTACATTGGGCGGCAGTTAAACGCATTTTGCGTTACCTCCATTCTACCTCACATATGGGGCTGCGCATCACCAAATCAGGATCATATCTGCTAAGCGCCTTCTCTGATGCTGACTGGGCCGGCAATCCAGATGATAGGCGCAGTATAGGAGGCTATGCCATCTTCTTTGGTGGAAACCTTATTTCTTGGAGCTCTCGAAAACAACCAACTGTTTCACGGTCAAGCACCGAGGCTGAATATAAGGCTATCGCCAATGCGACTGCAGAGGTCATTTGGATTCAGGTTCTTCTTCAGGAACTGGGAATTCCCCAGCCTCGGCCACCTTCCCTATGGTGTGACAATATTGGCGCCACTTACTTATTAGCTAATCCCATTTTTCATGCTCGCACGAAACATGTTGAGGTGGATTATCATTTCGTGCGCGAGCGTGTTGCCTCTCGCCAATTAGATGTCCGATTCATCTCCTCCAAAGATCAGATCGCCGACATCATGACGAAGCCGCTGCCGGTCACGCCGTACTGGAATCTAAGGCGCAATCTGAACTTAGTGTCACATCGTCCAGATTGAGGGGGGGGTGTTAAACATAGAAAGCTTTACCCTTTGATAGGAAGGATATATTATTCTTTATGGCATTGATCTCACTGTGTAATCTTTCCATGTATATGCCATGATTCACGAGTGTAATT